TTGCCACAACAATGGTACATCATTTGATGGTGAAGTGCCTTTTGATCGGGCAACACGGTCTACGGTTTAAAGGCAGCGGCAACCTTCTCTACCTTAAATAGTGTGTGCGCTAAGGTGGGAAGAGAACAACGGTGCAAGTAATAAATGTATCTGTACAACGGTGCAAGAAATAAATGTATCTGGTCAAGTTTATCATAACCCTCACGTCACTACAGGCCGATTCAGCTCCGTTCTCAGCTCCGATCACTTTGCGTGCCGAAAGATCGCCGTTGTGCCGCGGCTAAGAGCAAAAAACATACATAGAGATTAGAGATCAGCAGGGAGACACAGGCAGCCCACCCCAAAAGCACGCGTATCAGCAATGCGCACAAGACTCGCATAATACAATAATATTCACCCATGCCTAATGTCTCTGCCGTGGGGCACATATCCTTTCCAGATCCAACCTACTGCCTACCGGTACTGCTGTAGAAATTTCAAACGCAAAATACCACCGGAGGGGACATAACAGCACCCTGAACATGTGATCAACCCGGTGCCGCATCCGCGGGGGAGAACAGAGAAAACGCACACCGGAGCCGATGTTAACCTACTGCCTCGGTGCTTGATGTTGCTGTGATTGCGGTGCGTGTGGTTCCCAGTATTGGGAGTGAAGGGTGGTTCATCTGCTGTGTGCAAAATTCGCTCGGGACTACAGCTGCGATCACAGCGCTCTATTTGTAGTACGGAAGGGTAAAATTGATCACGATTTTTATGCATTTTGTGCTGTAGTGGATGATGATCTCGATTCTCTGAGGCGGTTTCCCGTCAGTGTCTTCGCATTTAGCGCCGCTAGCATATGCGCTGGCCGTATGCTCTGTCCAAGGATAAGGTGGAGAACATGTGCCAACAGATATTGCTTGCACAGGTACATCCTCTCTGCGGACGGTCGCTGTCGGAGACAGCCATCCACACGTGCTCAGAAATTACTGCTGCTGCCGTACTGTCTTATGTCTCTCCGCATAGCTGCTACTGCTGTACAGCAGTGGTACCACTGTACTCCTGCTCCTCACCCTTACATATACCGCGTCCCCATCCCGGTGAGCCCCACACATGGACCCACCGCTGCACCATGCTTGCCGCCGTGATTTACGGGTGTGCACGCATGCTTGGAAGATCTTTGACGGCAGAGAGCCAGTTGGGGAAAAAAAACAAAAAGTTCAAATTAACCCAGTCACGCAAGAGTTAAAAGTGACCAAACTGTGTTATCGATAGGCTAGCAGACCCGCGAAACTTGAAGAAGCCCGCCCACGTCGCCCACCTCACAATTGATCCGTAAACCGTTCGTTTGGTTCTCTGGCAGCCCCGCAAAGCGTAAGCGCTGCACCCTGATATCGAACAGTCCTCCCTGGTGGTGCCAAGCCGGCACAATTGGGGGGTTTTTAGACCCTGAATAGTGCTGACTTGGCACTATTAAGGCACAATTCTAAATAGTGCCGGGGGTGTCCACCCCCCCTGGACACGTACGGGCACTGTACCGGGACACCTACTGTAGTCCTTCTGCCTTGTTGTTGTTATGCAGCTCCCCCCCCCCCGTGGCTGCCAAGAAAATCCGTTATACATGTATCTCGAACGGGTAGTTCAGCCTCTCTTTGATTGTACATGTGTACCATATGTTTGCATATGAACGCATTTCCATGCTTGTGAAAACCATGCTGAGCTCAGTCGAAGGTTCAGCTTCGCTGGGAGAGCTAGAACGCTTTGGTTAGCGAAGAGTTACAGCAGTAATTTCTCCTGTAAGAAAACGGGGCAATGCATCTCCACCGCGTGCAGAGGTCGCCCCCAAAACGCAAGTGTATGTAGTGGGTCGCATGCATACGAACCATGTGCTGACCATGTGCTGAAACATGGAACGCACTGATCACCTAACAACTTGCCCAAGGTCCGATTCTTACTATCCGCCGCGGGGAGGACAACAGGGACCGACCGAGGTTTCGGTTACAAGAAGTTTTTGGGTGAGCGCCCGTTCTTACGATCAAGTTTTTCAAGTTCAATACTTCGAATGTTTGAGCCCGAGGTTCACATCTCGTTCCGCATTGTAATTCCCAGGTAAATTGTGGTGTGGCGCACTCTAATATTGTCTCTAGGGGTGTTGGCCTTTCGTCAGGCGTGTGGGCGCTTTCAGGAACAACGGAAATAAATGGATCAACCATTTCATCAAACCAGTGTATATATTTGCAAAGAGATGGATTTTTTTGCGATCAGTATTGTCTGTTGCTTTGCTTCTGCTGGACGAGGGAGAACCCAAAACAGGATACGGGTGCAAGTGACCAACACAAGGGTCTCAAGATACGTATGAAGTAGCAGATATCTTCGTTGAACCAAGACTACAGGAGAGGAGTTGTACAACGCTACCACAGGGTCTGGGGGCAGTTTCTGTCTCTTGACTGTGTCGCGGTCAGAATGCCCAAGAACAACAATGTCGGACCGTTCCAATGCTGGCTCGCTCTTCTTTTTCTTTGTGATGGAGCAAGGAGCTAACGACCGGCCAAGATACGACTAGTACTTCGTTCGGCAATATCCCACATGTGCATATTGACCCCTCGGGGCCATTTTATTTGAGTGTACCTTCTTAGGGTAAGCTGGCCTGCGACCACGGGAATCGACCGCGTCGAGTGTTGCATCAACACGGACATGCGAAGGTACTGGGTAGAGAGTGATCGGAACGGTTTTTGATGTGAAGACGACAACAACAACAACAACGACAACGACAACAACAACAACACACAAATGATGTAGATGCATGCTTACATACGTGCATACGCCTTGTGTACATGATCGAGAGAGTTGCGGGGCCTGACGGCGAAATGCACAGCACAGCAGCGGCGGAAGCAACAAAAAACACTTCCCCCTGTGCTTCCTCGCCAACATCCGCCCGCAGTCACGCCTTCTTAGTATAAACAAAAGATGCCCCGACGGCGTGAGAGCTTCGTGAAGGCCTTCGCGGTAGATGTCACTATCTCTGTGGAGATATGATGTCGCATACATTGCATACATCCCCAGCGAAGGTATCTGCTTCGAGGGGTGGAGCGACATTGCGCATGTGCGCATATTTACGACCAACATGCGCATGTTGTGCCTGTAGTTTTTATGCATACTGCTTGTGGAAGTGTCGGTCAGAGGTCATGAAAAAAAGGCACCATCAATACTAAAAAGATTCCTCACAACAATTTAGAGACTAGGTAGACAAGACCTGCATTAATTCGGACCAACAACGGCATCTTTTTTCAACGCTCAACAGTCATGTGCAGTGAGGCGTCTGGAAGAACCAACAAATGACTCTGAGGTGGCAAAAATGAAATCGATTTGGGGATTGAGGTGCGATGAAGCCGTGAAAACAAGGTCGTACGCCCAGGTCCAACTTGGGCTGGCCGAGGACAGTGTCGTGTAGTGATTATTTCCCGCCGACGTCACTGCTCTGTGGGTTGAACAAACCATGTCACTAGTATAGCGGTTGTGTTCCGGTTTTAGTTCCTCGGATTGTACTTGTACCACAAGCGGACAGTTGCTGTTCTGGGTTCTGGCCGTCAGCAGCAAACAAACGCAGAACAAAAACGCAACGACGGCCTCCAATAAGCGTTGCAGACGACGAGCACGTGTGACGAGGGCATCGAAACAGCTTACCGTTTGGGGATAACTGAGAGGCCGGAGACGATCGTAATCTTCCTGCCCCGCTGTATCCCAAAGCCCCAGGTTAATCGGCTTCCCATCAACCATCACGTTAGCGCTGTTGTTTGCGTGCGCGACAAGAAGCGAAGAACGAACTGAGCTGCAGACATGTAGTCTAGAGCAGAGAATTGTTGCGTGAGCTTTTCCATCAAAAAAAAGCCCACAAATCGAAGTACAATCGCATTTCAAAAGCTCGGTGTTTCCTGGACCAAACAGGCGAAAAATTCACGCACCACCCCGCCGCCGCGTGATTTTTTTCAGGTTCCCATATCGGACCCTTGCCAAAGCGGGTCGAAGGGGTGTACCAAGCCAGTGAATTACAGAGCACAGACGAGGGAGCGAGGTTATCGGAAGAACTGATGGACTCTGCGATAATTTGACGAGTGGCATTTACCGGCAGACCAGGAAAAGAGCACAGCACATGTGCAACAGCAGGGGGCGTGTGTCGGACACCCAACAGAAGCAGCTGCAGCTTCGCGAGTAGGCTCCAACCCTGATCCAAACCTGACTTTTTTTCCTCTCTTTCGTCAGCAGACTATCTACCAAAGCCGACAAATGACAAAACTTTTCGTAGTGAAGGTAGGCCTGCTGCTGCTGCTGTCTCTCCCGTTGGGGCGATGATATGGGCGGCAAGTTGCCCCAGGGAATACAAAAAAGGGGGTTACTATGGAGATGGGGGAAGAGAACCTGTAGAAGAGGCATTCAAGTCGTTGGCAATGTCAAGACTCACCTATAGTTGTCGAACACCGTTGGGATGTACTCTCCGGGAAATGCGTTCGTCGTGTAGGAGATCAGCAGACAGGTCTTACCAACCGCACCATCTCCCACCACGACGCACTTGATGTTCTGCATAGCTGCTGCTGCCACTGCTCAAGCTGCTGCCACCGCCGCCCCACGCCGTGTGCGTCACGATGGGAGCTGCCTGCTACAGCTGCTGCAGAAGAAGTGCTTTGTGCTGATTTCCTTTTTCTGTTTCCCTGCAGAGTTCCTTTTGAGAGCGCCAAGCTTCTGTGACTTTGCCTGGGTGAGCCCGCCCTGTGTGCGGGAGCGAGATTCCCAATACCAAGCTAGAGGAAAGAGTTGTCCCCTTTCTAGATCGTGCGTGTCGCCCTAGCCGCCTCTGGGTATTCCTAAATTCGCTCTTTGCAGCGGTCCTCCACCCCGCCCGCCCCTCTCAGCAAAAGAGAATCAAAATCAGGAAGGCGTGTTCGAGTAACAGGGGCTGATTAACCGTTATATAGCTCCACGTGGGTGCGCCAATAAAAGGGCGTAGCATCTAGAGTCCCTGGCACTGACACACACATCAGCTTAGCCGCACACACGACGTCAACAGGAGGAGTGGGGGAGGCCAAGCGCAAGGTGGGAGGGAGAGTTCGTCACTGCCCTTGAGTTCTTTTCCATGTTTTTGGTGAAGCCGGGCTAGTAGTGATGGCAGGGAGATGTGTTTTTTCTCTTGTGCATGCTCGTTTGTTGTTTTCCTCTCCTGTGAGGTCCTTGCTTGGCTGTCTGGGGTCTCGACCTTGCTATGCACAGCAGTGAGTGAGAGACGGACCCTTTGGTAGGAAACTGCTGTTGTGCACGAAGAGGTCGCGGTCTTGCGCAGCTACCACATGCTAGTTACCTTCGTTTTGTCAGTCCGCGTTGGTCGGTCAGTGCAGCACGTATGCACATACGACACACACACGTTGTATCATGCCAATCGCCCACGTGTCTGTCTCTCCCCGTTGCACTTTGCACTTCAACGTAGGATTTACAACACATCCTATCCCCACACGCCACACATCAATCAACCACCACCCCCATCATTTCCCGCACCACTTACTCCAGTCCAAGCTGCACGCCCGGAAGCCTATCTTTGATACGATGAGGAGCGCGTCAGCCTTGTTCTTCGCGGCGCTGGGGGGGACAGGATTCTCGATCGGCGGTGCGGAGGCCGCAGGAGGGTTTTTCGCTTCCGCTTCGCCGGCCGGCGGGGCGGCGGCGGCGGCGCGACCAAGAGGAGGCTTCTTGCCCGGATGGGGGCTGCCTCGGCACGAGAGTGTCCTCGATAGGGTGAGTTGTTGATCCCCGCAATGATCAGGCTGTCGTCGTTTGTTGGCGCAGCAGCGGTGTAGGCGGTGGTGGTGGGTTTGCCGTTCTTGTCGCGGTGTACTGGTGCAGAGAGAATTGATACTTAGATCTAATACTAACTAGGTTTTGTTGGTGATATCGGAGTCGGTTGGTGACACTGGCCGTGGCGAGGAATCCTTTTTCTGGCTTTTTGCACTTTGGCAGGAGAGGGGCGATTGTGTTACAGAAGGGGAACGGCAGATATGCGTGGGGCTACACTCCAGGATGGCCGCTCTCTCAAACCAGCATTGTTGTATCGCTGCTTTATCGGGGTATGGTCTGTTTCAGTCAAAAAACACGTGAGCGCATTAAATCCTCGTCTCCGTTGGAAGCGACGTGCAAGTGCGTTGTTAGTAAGCTTGATCGACTTCATAAGTCGCGAGGGAAGGGATTGCTGTACCCTTCTCGCGATAAAAAGATCTCAGGCAGGAACCGCAGGAGGGGGTGCAACTCCCCCGTCCTATGTGACCCCGGTTGGGTCGTGTAGCTGGTAGAAGTGGAGGATAGGGGCAAGATTGGCAGACGACAGAGTCCAATGATGAGAGAAAAATAAATAAATACAACGCATAGCACACGTGTCGCCGTGACACGCTGGTGCACTGCAGCTGAACCAGACCCTACAGCAGTAGCTGCTTCTTCCAGCTAAATAGTGTCGTCTCGTTGGTTGTTGAGAGGAGGAGCACTTGGTTGATAACCTACAAGACCTTCATCATGGGTATGTGGGGTCTTCACTCATGAGGCCACGTGCCGCAACATATATATATATTTTTTAGAGTTGTGAATCGGTACGAAAAAACGATATATTTTACATCGGCTGCGCAGCAGCCGATATAACGATATTTTCTCCGATATATCGCCGTAGGCGATATATCGGAAAAAATATCGGGCGAGCGCAGCGAGCCGT